CACGATATGAAAGAGTTGCAGAAGGTGATGACAAGGAAAAGTGAAGAATCTGCCGTCCTTAAGCTATGTTCTGTTAGTAGTTGCAAAAGTTGGTTAGAGACGATTAGAGGTCAGTTTGCCAGCTCAACATTGATTGTTTTTTAGCTAACCTGTATATAGTTGCATGTGTGGGTTAGTATGGGTTTTATTCTGGAATTTGGGAAAAAAGATTATAAGGGAAGAGAGTTGGAGACCACTCTCTAATCAAGTTTATCCAAGATCGTAAGGGAAAAGAGCTGAAGATCAGAGATTGAGGTGCAAATCCAATCAAATTTGGTATCAGAGCACGTCTTTGATCAACAACGGCGAAGAACAATAGTCAGAAATTGGAGCAATTGGAGGAACAATAGCCAAAAACTGGAGCAATTGGAGGAGATAGTGAATGAACATTTGGAAAGATTGAGGCGAGAATGGTGGATTTTCGAACATCAATGGCGAAAATGCAGAAGGAATGTTTGAAGATGCACTTGATGGAGAAAATGTTGGTTGAGTTGAGTGAGTTGATGAAATCGGATCGGGAGCGACAAGATTATGAGGTTCAATCACCGAAAATGTCGCTGCAACAGGCACCAATCGAAAAATCGTCGATTAAGCCAGTTGATATTTTGCAGTCATCATCTGCAATCAGATCGGTGGAGCGTTCAGATGATGATGTTGTTGACACGAATTCAAATGCGAGATTTGTCGGAAATATTGCAACAAAATTGAGGAAGATTGAAATGCCAGTTTTCAAAGGATTCAATGTTACAGGATGGATTGCGAGAGCATATCATTACTTTGAACTCAGTAGTTGTACAGATGAAGAGAAACTTCGTTTAGTTTGGCCTCTCTGAGTATAGATGGCAAAGCTCTGAATTGGTATAACTTGCAGAAAAGTCGAGGAAAATTTTGTGATTGGGATGACTATTGACTTTTGCATACAGCTTTCAAACGAATGACTGATTCGGAGATTGACGAAAGAAAGAAGAAATGTTTATGTTTTAGATGTGATGTAAAATATTATGTGGGACATCATTGTAAGAATAAAGAGTTGCAGGTGATTGTGGTCAGGGGGAGACTGAATGGCTACTGGAGGATGAGGACAGGATAGAATCATTACCGGTAAAGCAGTTGGAAATGAGTGAAATGCTCTAGCTTTCTATGAATTTTGTTGTCCGTTTCACTTCTTCGAAAACTCTGAAGGTGAGGGGCGTTACTGATAAGCAAGAGGTTGTAGTGATGATTGATAGTGGTGCAACCCACAATTTCTTGTCAATAGAGGTGATTGAAAGATTGTCAATTAAACTGTTAGTACAACCAACTATGGAGTGTTCTTGGGAACATGATTGACAGTGAAGAGAGAGGGTATTTCTAAATCAATCCCTTTAAGGTTGCAGATTTTGGAGGTGGTGGCAGATTTTCTTCCGTTGGGGTTGGGCAGGACGGATGTAATCTTGGGGGTGCAATGGTTGAGAACACTGGGTAACATTCAATTTGACTTCAAAGGACTTGAAATGAAGTTCAACAAAGGAGGCACAACTATGACTATGATAGAAACCTGCTTTCTTCAAACAAGAACTAAGGAGTTAAGTTAATTAGTTTTATCTAGTATATGGAAGGAACAATAATGTACATCTAGGGGAAAACCCCTAATGACATTAGCCACTTTTGATATTGTATATAAGGGGAAAACCCTATCAAGAAAATACTTGATCAAAGAATTAGAGGAAGGGAAACCTTGAAACCCTAATGTTCTTGGTTCTTTGTTGATTTTGGTTTGATTACTTGGTGTAAATTTAGGGTTTACACCAAGTAATCAAACCAAAATCAACAATTGGTATCAGAGTCAGACATCTGGGAAAAATCACATTTTTTTTCAGCAAGATTCATCGAGCCACACAACACAGACTTAGCAAACAGCACTCCTTCTCACTCTGATATGCGATTCTTCTCCAAAGGGAGCCGACACGCAGCTACCGGAGAGCAGCACCGAACGCGTCGCACTCGAAGCACCGACGAGACCCAAACGACGGATGTGGCGGTCAGACAGGAAGAGGCGACACCGGCGAGACTCAACGGTGGACGCGATGAACTCGAACACCAGCGCAGCTCAGTCTCGCTCATCTCTCTCTTCTCTTGGAATGCGACACGACGACGGCGACCGATGAGCATCAAGGAGGAGTGACGACTGAAAAGCACAAGTTTCCGACGAAGGTATGGCAACAACTCGAGGAGGAAAAGACACCCAACACAGAGACACGACTGCGACGTTGCTGGAGGAGCCGCATCAGGACTCGTCGGAGGCGAGCGAACCGGCACCAGGCTACGCCGTTGCTGCATAGGAACCACCGGCACACCCACAACATTGGGGAGTTTCGGTAACCCCTCTCAGGTTCAGGATCCCGTTTTGTCTGAAATTTTACAGGTCGTGAGCACTATGCGGGCTGACTTCATGCGTGTGTGGGAGGCCATGGGAGCACGACTAGAACGAGCCCTAAACCAACCGGGCCGACCGAGTCCGGCAAACCCCACCGTACTGCGGGGTAGTGTGGCTGTAGGTTAGGAACAGAGATCACAAGCAGCATTCGGGGTTGAAACCGAGTGGGGAAGACAGACCACTGAACCGCAACGCTTTGAGAACAGAGAAACCACGACCGTACAGTAAGAAGACGAAATTGGTTTCCTTTGATGGTGAGAACTTGGAAGGATGGTTGATGTAGGTTGAACGGTATTTTCTCTTCTATCAGACACCCGAAGAAGAGAAGAAGGAGATTGTATTGTGGCATATGTCTGGAGATGCAATGATTTAGATTTAGTGTGAAGAGGTTGCAAAACCCTTTTCGGGATGGGAGGATTTCAAGGAGCGGTTGTTGATTCGTTTTGGCAAAGGAGAGTCGGGTTCAACCTATGAGAATTTGATGGTGTTGGACCAAACTGGATCGGTTACGGAGTATAGAAACGCTTTGATGAGATCCGAGCACAAGCTCGCGATTTGAGTCCTGAATACCTCAAGAAGGCATTCCTACGCGGTCTCAAGCCAGGGATCGCCAAGTATGTGAAACTATTCCCTTTGTCTGATCTTTTGTAGATCATGGAGATGGCTCATCGCGTGGAGCAATCCAGGTTCATTGAGGACGGAGAGGTCAATCATCTGACACCCTAACTTTGGGAGAGCTCGGGTGAGACATACATAAACCGTTCACCCCAATTCTCGTCACCTCTAACTAGCGGAGCCTCACTGTCAATCAACAACAACACTATGTCGGCTCTATCAGGAGCGGTACAACTTACCTTTGCGCAAATGGAAGAGAAGCGAGCCAAGGGTATTTGTTTTCGATGTGATGGAATATGGTATCTTGGACACCGTTGTCCAATACGTACTCTTCAACTTTTCATAACCAATGACAAGGAAGGGGGTTCGGACGAAGAGGAAGATAATCGAGTTGCTAAGTTGTCCTTTAATTCAATCGTAGGAATAAGTTCGAGGCACACAATGAGGATCGTTGGTGAGCTTCTGGGCCAACACATGGTCATCTTGATTGATAGTGGGACCATGGATAACTTCATCTCCAACCTGTTTGTGTCTCAGCTCGATCTCATGTTTGACACATTCCGAGAGTATCAGATTTCTGTCGGTAACGGAGAGGTGTTGATTAGCCCGGGAAAGTGCAAAAATTTATCTATGATTGTCCAAGACGTGGAGGTTTTGGCGGATTTTTTGGTATTTGACCTAGGAAGTGCAGATGTTATACTCGGGTATCGACACCTTAGGAGAGACGTTGATAGATTGGAGGCGGCACACTCTCAAGTCCTAACAAAATGGAAAGATGATTATTCTTAAGGGAGATTCCAACTTGGTGCAATCTGAGATCTCTCTTAATGTAATGGTGAAGAACTTGCGGAAGAGGAAACGTGTAGTAGTTGGGTTAACCCATGCAGAGAATGGATATCGAGACGAACCTGGAGATGGGATGCATCGACTTCCACTACAAGAAAATAGTTATATAGCGACGGAAAAATCTGTCGCAAATATAAAGGAAATCCGTCGCAATTAAGAATTTGCGACGGAATGCGACGGATTTATTTCCGTCGGTATAGCGCTGTCGCAAACGTATAACGGTCGTTAATCTGCGTTTTGCGACGGAAAGTGACGGATAATTCCGTCGCAAATTTGCGACGGATTTTTTTCCGTCGCATTCCGTCGCAAATGTTTTAAAATTTTTAAAAAAATATATAAAAAAATTATATACTATATATACACATACATATATACATTTTCACATACACATACATTCATACACATACATTACATACATACAAATATACATACATATACATACATATATATACACATATTTTCATATACACAAACACACATACACATTCACACATATACACATATACACATACATAAATATTCATACACATACACATTTCACAAACACATACACATACATATAAACACACACATATACACATATTCATATACACATACAATCACATATACATACACATACATATTCACATTCACATATATATATATACACATACATACATATAAACACACACATAATTTCACAAACACATACACATACATATAAACACACACATATACACATATTCATATACACATACAATCACATATACATACACATACATATTCACATTCACATATATATATACACATACACATACATATAAACACACACATACACATTCACATATATACACATTCATACTTACACATATATAAACACACACATACACATTCACACATATACACATTCACTTACACACACATACACATACATAAACACACACAAACACATCAAACACACACATATATATATACATAAATACATATATATTACCTTATGGGAGAAATTTGGCGATCTTTGGAGG